GTTTTGTTTTGGTTTTGTTGTCTTTTTTTTTTTTTCCAAAGGAGGAAAGCCCTGTGCTCATTAGGTGATAATCTGGAGTATCCAGGTGACCTTAACTGACTGCAGTTAGCTACACATTTAAGGGAACAGTTATTTAAGAATTGCCTATGTTGGCGTTCTGCAAAAAAATTTTGCTTTTACAAGCTAATTATATATCATAAAAGAAAAAGGAAGTTATTATAGGCAATATTATCTTCATATTCCCTGCCTGGAATTCAGTGTTAAAAATGGGAATATTTTTATATTTCAACTTTCTATTCCGGTGGAAAGAGTTGCATTGGCAAAGACTGAATATGGTCTTTTACTACTTGAAGTCAAATAACTTCAAATCTCAACCTTTTGCTTTAAAGCAGTGTCTAGAAATTAAGTACCGCACTTTTCTACGAAAAATTCTACATGACTGTTGCCACATGTAACAGCTTTCACAATTAAACTTGATTTGTTGTTTGGTGGTTTTTTTCAACTTTTTTTGAGTACTGTAACTGGAGATCCAAAGAAACAAGCCGATGTCTATTTGTCCAAGCTTTTCTATATTGTTGGTTTTGATACCACTCCGGATACACACTATTTCAACATCTACCTTATCAAGCACTCTGTTACCATGTCAGTGGGTACTTCCATCAAGAAAAAAGGGGGAGGAGACGGGAAGTAAAATAAGAAAGTAAAAATGGTATTCTAAGACTCTTAGTACAGAGATTCGAAGTCACTTAAAAATTCTTTTAAGAAAAAATAAGTGACTACAAAAGTGGACAGTTTCTTGAGTATGTTCCTAAGTAAAAAAAAAGAAAAATTGAACCCCCATATTTTTTAGGGAAGCACCACCTGAAACGTTCAGTGCTAGCAGTTGTACCATGTTGCGCTGGTCAGTGAAAGGTTGGATTGCTTTGAAATACAGTTGTGAGATGGAAAAGTCCTCCCAAAATTTAGAGCTGGAGTAAGAGTACATGACCAAAGAATGAGAAATAATGGAACTTCATTTCTTACAGCTCTCAGCTGCACTTCACTGGTTTCAGCACGCTAAGTGTACCATCCAATCAAGGACTGGTGTCAAGCCTTCCCCAGCTGTTTTACCTCCAGTCCCTGATTCAGAGACTGCACTCATCTATCTGTGCACATTTCTTTTAAAACTTGAGAGCTGCATAATTATGATAGATATATCTTAATTTTTTTTTGTACCCCAAAATGTTAATAAGTGTAAAATCACAAAAAGCAAAAATCCAAAACCAATGCTCACAGCAATAGGGAAAGATTTGTTTTTAAGACAGGCAAGGTCCTCTGTTACCAGGTAACTGAATAAACTGCATATTACTACACCAGGCTGCTCAAAGCTCTGTCCAACCTGGCCTTGAACACTGCGAGGGATGGGGTAGCCACAACCTCTCTCAACAACCTGTGCCAGGGCCTTACCACCCTCACAGTAAAGAACTTCTTCCTTATTTCTAATTCTAATATACACACTTTCAGGTTAAAGCCATTCCCCCTTGTCCTGTCACTGCATGCCTTGTAAAAAGTCCCCTCTCCAGATTTCCTGTAGGCCCCCTTTAGTTACTGGAAGCTGCTCTAAGGTCTCCCCAGAGCCTCCTCTTTTCCAGGCTGAGCAATCCCAGCTCTCTCAGCCTGTCTTATCAGGAGAAGTGCTCCAGACCTCTGATCATCTTCATGGCCTTCCTCCGGACTCGCTCCAACAGGTCCACATTCCTCTTGTGTTTGGGGCCGAGCTAAGGACTGCAGGTGGCATGTCATGACAGCAGAGCAAAGGGGCAGGATCACCTCCCTACACCTGCTGGTCACACCCCTTTTGATGCAGCCCAGGATATGCCTGGCTTTCTGGGCTGCAAGCACACACACTGCCGGCTCATGTAGATCTTCCCATCAACCAACACCCCCAAGTCTTTCTCCTCTGGGCTGCTCTCAAATCTATTCTTCATGCAGGCTGTAGTTGTGCTCGAGACTGCCCAGACCCAGGACATTGTTGAACCTTTTCCTTAGCTCACCAGACCAAAAGGAAATTATCCAAACAAAACCAATAACAAAATTCATACTTTTGTAAAGGTAAAGATTTAAACTAAAGCATACCCACTGCATATGACAACCACCACAAAAGGCGAGTGTGGCAGCAAGACTGAATAAACCTTCAGGAGAACAGCGAGCAAAACCTCCCCTCTTAGTGTTACCCAGTACAAACTTTTTTTAAAGAGTCTCTCTGTTACTTTGTGTACAACTGATCTTCCGCCATACCTGCAGTTCACCCAGAAGCCTTTTTTCTTTAGTATACTAATATACTAATTACCCATCACCAAAGAAGCTTATTGCAGTCGTAAGATACTAATTTGTCTAGAAGTAAATTTAATTGTACAGTAGTTAAAACTGCAGTTATATTTTACTTATTTCAGCTGTCTCCATCTCACCTGCACAAGCCTAAGCCCCTGTCTCACAAGAGGCTCATAAGACTCATGTCTGTCGTAGGTACTACTGAAGCATCTAATCCTGAGATAATATCCTAAATCAGAAACATAAAAACAGTGTGCTCCATCTGTAAACTATTCCAGACCTCAGTTTACCTGACTCATGATAAAGACTGAATATTAAACAAAGAACAGCACCGCATTTTTCCTGATACATTTTTAAACAACTGTTACTCCAAATAACTATGATCCATCTTTCCAGGGTGCTTGGCCCTCTCTGCTGCTTTCAGTTTCTGTTCCAGAACACAGTACCTTCCTCAGGGATCTCAAATGATGACGAATACTTGGCTGACAGTTGATAAAGAAACATTTATAGCAAGAGAAATATCAGCAAAGGAGCTTAAATGGTTTGGTCCAGTCCCAAGTTTCACATCACTCACTAATGCACTTTAAGCAGCACCAGCTATTACACCAATATGGTGGCAAACAGCATTAAATCATCATGCCAAACTGCTTGATGCCAAACATCACACTGTTCTGCTTTCATATCCTGCTTTTTAGCACTTTCTGGAATGCAGTATTACTTAGCTATACCCTGTCTACCTTGTGCTGCTCTTTCTCCCCTGCCCTGTTCTTTGAGATGTGCTTTGAGATGCGTTATTTCTCTGCTATAAAAGAACAGCTTCCCCCTTTTTTTTTCTGGTGCCATGAATGCTCTTTATCCCGCAGAGCAAAGAAGCAAAACCGTCACAAATGATGGTCCAGTCAGAAGAATCTGCACATGTTGAATAACATGCTTTGCCATGGCGGAAGAGGAGGAAACAGGCTCTCCATCTAGCTACTGTAATGCACCTGGCCCACAAACTCTCCAGACTGAGAATGCCCAGAACATTTTCTCATGAGTCTCCCTCATGATGTACAAATTATATTTGTGCGTAAAAAGACAGTTAAATGTTTTGGAGAACAGAAACAATTGTGTTGTCCGTATAAGAAATCACTGCAATCTAAGCAAGGGTGGGAAGGATCCACAATCACCCTCTATCCATCTGATAATCATAAAGGTAACCTGTTCTTGCTCTAACTTGGTTTAGGACACACCTCTGCACCAATTAGAACATTTTGTTTATGAGAACTGCCCACAACCAGCCCCAGAACAGGTTGATCTGACCATCAAGTAGAAGCAGGAAGGCCTCTACACCTTTAAATGCCAGCTGGCAGCAGTCTTGCTAGAAGACAATCAGCCTCAGGCAGGACTCTCTGGAAGCCTCTGCCAGCGAGGACCACTCTACACCTGCACTGCAGCCATTCTCTTTTAAGCCAACTGCAGGTACCTCTAGGGTTTGCTGGTCCTTCCACCGGCAATTACTCATTTCTCCACAACCAGCCTAGGGCCAGCCTCTCAAGACCAGCTCTCAGGTTGTCACTTTGTGATGCCTGCAGAGATTTCAAATCCTGCATTCCACTAATGGACAAGGAGTTTAACACAAACCATTTTTCACTGAGCAACCCTGCAAACTAAAAGCAAAATCCAGCACCCTGAGCCTGTATCCCCACAACTGAAACACCTGGCAGATTAGCTGCATGCCAAGTTTCTTGAAACACCAAATTCAGCCTCAACATTAAAGAACTGCAGCAAAATTGCTGGTTTTAACGTGCTGTGCCTCAGCGTTTGTCGTGTCAGAAGACAAACTCCCACCCGTCTGCTCAACACGGGTACGACAGGACCGGTTGGCAGGGCTCTGCATCTCACCACCGTCAGAGCGCGGTGCAGCAGGACGATGGGCTGGCAGGGGGACACCACACCGGATTTAAATAAAGGGGGAAATACAACCCAAACCTCAGCCTGACGAGTACTTGCCTCCTGCTTTCTCTCTTGACCCTGGTGCACGCTCGCCGCTCAGCGCCTGACACGGCGGGCAGCAGGAGCCACAGCGTCCTGCCGGGTGCGCCTGGATTCGATAGTTTCCAGGCACTCTCCGTACCGCAAGTTCTAGAGACCAACAGCTCCGTGAGCAAAGCTCTGCAGGAAGGCACACAGGGACCCACCTTTTGGAGACAAGGCGAAGTGGGGGAGCCCCGGGAGGGGGGAAGCCTGCAGGACCTTTACAAGTGCTGCTGGCCGGTTAAGTGCTGTACCCACACTACCGCTTACCGGGGAGTCACGCGCAGCCACAGGGACGCAAGCGCACACCTGCCGTTTCGGGGGGACAGGGGTCCCTCCCCTACATCCGAAGGCGAAGGCCCTGGCCGGCGGGCCACGACGAGCGCGGGGACCTGGACAACCTCCCCGCAGGGGTGGCCAGTGGTCGAGCCCCGCGTTTGGCTTGGGAGGAGCTGGGGCGGCGGGGGACGACACCTCCACTGGACCTGAACCGGACGGGGAACGGGCGCCCGGCCGCAGCGCTGGCTGCGCGTCGCAGTCGGCAACCCGGTCACTGCGGGAAGCCCGTGGGGCGGCGGGACGGACCTCTCCCCTCACAGGGACCGAGCCTTCCCCTCGCAGGGACCGACCTCTACCCGCCCTGACCCGACCCCCCGCAGCCGCCCCCGCCTTACCTCCACCCCTCCGGGCGCCGCCGCCCGCCCAGGTGTCTTCCCCGGAGGACGGACAGGGAACGGACACCGAACGGAGACGACAGCACGGCGCGGCTGTCCGCGAAGGACGACCCCCAGCGGCGCTGCCACTCGTCCGGTACCGGGCTCCCGCCGCGCGGCCCCCGGCGCGTGGTGAGGCCCTCGGAGGAGGCCGCCCCCTGGCGGGCGTGGAGCAGCAATAGAGACCGAAATGGCGGCGCTGCCCTCTTGACGGCTCTGCACCGCTGCCCGCCTTCAGGGAGCACCCCGCGGGGCTCGGGGAGGAGGGGCGAGCCGGGCCCCGCCGCAGCTCCCTTCAGCTGCCTGGGAGCCCTAAGGGCAGCCCGCCACGGCAGCCCCCACCCATGGGGCCCCGTCTGAGAGGCAGCCCCCTTCCTCACAGCTACCGGGAAGAGGCCAGATCCTACACCGAACTTTAGCAGGGTTTGGTGGAAAACTTACTTTACTTTAGGCAGCAAATGCGAAGCTGTGATCTGTCACGGAGCCTATAACAATCACCAGGAAAATGTCAACCCCCACGACCTTCTTTTGCAGCACTCCTCGTAGATAGTGTTACGGAGGGGTTTGCCCTCCACAGCCATAGTGCTTTACCACACTAGCAAAGGCCAAAGAGCATGATCCCTTCCCTCAGAGTTGGAGGATTAGATAAGTAATGGCATTCATATTGCAGTTTTATCAGCTAAAGGGTCTTCTGGTTTATCTAATCCGTGGCATTTATCGGAATAGGCTGATACACAACCATTCATACAGTTAAATCCACCATTACACTTACACTGATTTGACTGTCTTCTTTTGAAAAAAGGCCCACCAAACAAAGCAAACAAACAAACAAAAAACCAAACCCACCCTCACAGCTGGGTCTATATATACAGCTTGGACAAAGAGCTCTTGGTTTTTCATGCTAACCAAGACTTCAGGGCCTTACACATACCCAACTGACCATTTTTCAACAGAGGGGAGTAAGAGCAGAGGCCTGTTTCAGTGCCACCCAACTCAAAATTAAATGTCCGTGTGCCAAACTCTTTATTCTTAAGTGGAGGAATTTCAAACCCAGCAGGAATGCTGACTGAGTTTGGGAAATCCTGTTTTCACTAAGACTTAGTGAACAAAACTCCAGACTCCCTCTTTTCAAGCAACAGAAACCCAGGAGGAACCACATAGCTGTACGAAGATGCAAGACAAAGGACCATGCAAAACTGAAGGTGTTCTTCTGAGAACAAGGACATCATGGCAAGCACTGACAAAAGTCCCTGGGAACTGGTCAGTATCTTGTCTGGAGGAAGGTATGGGGGAGAGGTCTGCCTGCTTCACAGGCTTGCAGAAGATTGCAATAAATCACCAAGGTTTGCTGAAGACTGGCACTGCCTCCTTTCTACCGTGAAACGCAAAGGAAGGTGGGCCTCTTCTCCCCAGCCATTGCAGAAGGACTCAGCTTCTACCTCTCTTCAAATGGGAGGCGAAGTGTGGGAGCAGCTCCCACGTGGCAGCAGCAAAGCAGAACCTCAGCTGGTTTGAGGAAGAGGTTGAATCTGTGGCCTCTTAGGTGAGGGCTTGGTTTAGGAACTATTGGCTGCCAAACCAGAGAAGGTGAATGTATCTTAGAAGCATCTAGCAGTTTGTGACTGTGGAGGGGAGATTGAGTTGCTCAGAGGAAATACCATATTGTGACTGATTAACTGTTCTTCCCAAATATGTGCAAATAAAGATAGTGGAAGTGATCCTTCCACTTCCAGAAATACAGCAAGAACAGCCTGAGAAGTGACCCTTTTTCAAACAACTTTTTAGTGTTAGTGTGGCAGTCATTAGGTGTTTCTCACAGAGCTATCTGAGCAAATAGCAGTAGAAATAATCTTCTTTCTGACAGCAGAATGAGCAGGTTTAAGTCACTGGCGGAACTGCTTTTTATCTCGTTACCAATTCCCTGTTTTCAGGCAATGAATCAGTCCTTTCTTTTTCCTGAGCTGTACCTGGTTTGATGTTGTCATTACTGTGTCCCATATGCCTGTACAGGAAATTAAGGACAGTAAAATATGTGTACAAAGAGTTTGTGGGATCATACCCCTAAGAAGAAGTAAGTAAAAAAGAGAAAGTGCCAAGCTCAAAATTTCCTAAAGGCTTTTCAAAGGTTTCAACGTAATATTTGGGTGATGCCAGGTCAAAAACCAGAGAAGTTCCCTAGTAAAAACAAGTGAACAACCTACACAAGCTGTAATTTTCCCATTGTCCCAGTATCCTCAAAAGTTTAAAGTCTGCATCCCTGTAAACGCTGTGTGGAAAATTGTTTTAAAGCTGCAGTAGGTGTGGTTGACAAGATTCATTTTGTTGTATAGACTCAAACAAGGATAGACAGTGTCTTTGAGGTCAGCATTCTCTTTTCCGTGATTCATAATCATTAAAACATACCAAGAACCTGCCAGCTTTGGCTAGGAAGGATTTATTTTTGGTGACAAACTAAAGCCCAGAAAGGACAAACTACAGACATGATTTGTTTCCTGAACTTCAGACATGTCCCCTTTCTTCTTTTGTAACTATCACAAATTGCTAGAGTGCTTAAAAGCACACCAAGGACAGCTGACTTTCTGAACAGGAAGATGTCTGCATCGTCCTTCTCTGTAGTCATGTAGTACACTGGAGCCCTGCTGTGGCCACATTCACCAGCACACTCAATGGAAGTGCTTCTTTGCTGATGGGAGAGAAGCCAGACACCAGGACTGTAAACCCAGTTATCATACTTCAGCAGAATTTAACCAGGAATCAATTTGGTCATGTGTGCCCTATTATTCTAAGCACATACAGGAAAGCTGCAGAAGTCAAGGGTCTGCCCTTTTCCTACCACGCAAAATACACAACTCAAGGAACAAAACAAAACCAAAACAAAGACTCCAAAATGGGGCATGACACAGATGGGGCAGATCACAGTGGTACAAACAATTTAAACTGTCAGGAACAAGCAGTTGTGATGTTGCTCTTTCTGGTTCTAGATGTGCTTGGATACTCTGAAGGAACCAAGAACTTGCAAGTGGAGCTTACAAGAATTATTTTCCTATGTCTCTTTTCAATCTGTTTTGTTTTGTTTTAGGGTTTTGTATCTGATATGACTAACTTAACATTGCCTCCTTGATAGATCACAAAGTTTGTGTACCTCTATTTGTTTATGCTGACATAAGTTTGCATAGGAATCACTGAAACATACTGTCTTTAAGACTGGTATCCCTCAATCAGTTTTACAAAACTGGCTAGCAAAATCAAAATTGATCTTGGGACAGTGGGAAGAATAGAAACATGTTTGTAACCAAGATGCTATCATGAACTGTGTTTTCTTGGGATAGCAGGACAAAATTAAAGCCTGCCTTATCCACTTTCTTTTTTCAGATGGCAAGCTTATGGTTTTTATTTGAGTCTGCAAGAAATTGTTATGGCTTTGCTAAACCAAATTTAAACTTAGAAATAATTTTTAATCCATTCTGCATTGAACTTCCCTATTTAGTTTTATGTCAAAGACCTTAATCAGTTTAAACCAAGCCATTGCTGTATACTGCCTGTGAAATCAGCTGGGGCATTTAAGAAGTTGTTGTTGACAGCATCTTTTATTGCCTCCCTTTTGATGATGGCTAACACCCCCAAAGCTGAGGATGCTTTACTAAAAAATAAAACATCTTCATTTAGCTCAACCACTGTCAGTGGCAGCTCAGATCAGCTGATTTTGCATTGAAGTAGGTTATAGCAGGCTCTCTTCTCAGGGGCTATAGGCACATGAAGCTTCCAAATAGTGTGACTAAGAGAACCTTGGACATGTAATTTAAACGATTCAGTCTGTTTTTTAAGTAAATATGTCTTTGTGTTTACCAGCAGCCAATTCTGTGTGTATTGGGACTGGCCTTACTGACTGTAAGTCACACAGCTTTGCTGAAGCCACAGGCTTATGCTACACCCTCTGAGCATATAGCCAGTGACATGTAACTGAGCTGCTGTCAGAGGTACTGTGTTTGAAAGTTTTAACAAGTTAAATAAAATTTTTGTTTTGGTTTGGTTTGGTTTTTTTTAGTATTTGTTTCTAGCTTTGTACCCCAAGGTACAAAGGGTGCCTTGTGATGTAAGGAAAAAAAGAGGAAAGTTTACAGAAGTACCATAATAGAATATGCTCAGCTTTTATCATTTTTGGCTCAGAGTCTTGGATGTGTTTATGCAGCAGAGTATCTTGAATGAAGGAAAAGAACATTATGTACCCTTCATATCAATAGAAGGGATCTTCCTCTATGGTCACCTCTATGGTTTTCCTCTCTTTTAATCACCAGCATAATTTGGCTACCTTGTATCATTTACAGAAAAATTATGTAGGAAAAAAATTGAAACCAGACAAATAATGATAAAAAAATTTGACACTTAACAGAGAATCAATAAAATTTTGAATAGTTTAAAGCCACAATGCATGTAAAATTAAATACATCTTCTGATTGGATTTTATCTCCCTGTACTCCTTTCAGTTGATAGCCTGTAGGGTACTTCAGAGCACTACGGTGCCCTACATAGTACCAAGCATTAAGTTCTGACTTAACCCCAAATTACTGCACAGTAAAGGTCTGCTGCCATAACCACAAGATCAATGCAGTAATCCTCTTTCATCCCCTTGAAATTCCTATGTATGACACAGATCTAGCATAGTTGCTCCTCAGATAGTTCTGCCAACATACCGAGTATTCCCCAACCTAGGCAAGGCCACAGCAGGGAGTAAGACAGCCTGCAGCAGCTTGAACTGAAAACATCTACGGCTGCAGTGCTGAGAAATCTGCACCTGTGTTTGAAGGCGAGATGATGCTGATGTTGCTGAAATAGTCTGAAGTGCAGTGAAGCCAAAACTGCTCACTCTGGAGCAGGTACCACCACTTTATGGCTTGCAAACAAATGCAGCTCTTCCACACGTTCATTCCTAGCTTTATTTCTACTCCCTAGCCACCTGCTTCACATAGCCAGAACAACTCAGACCCAAAAGTGTGGTCTCCAGTCTCCCCCTTTGTGAGACAAATAGGCAATTTACGCTTCCCAACATACACATGTGCGCCTGTGATTACAAAGAGAAGGAGTCTTTTTCTTTCCTATAAAAAACAAGAACTAGAATTACCATTTTTAGCATGGCAGTACTTCTAATATGCTTCCAGATGCTGTAAATGGTCATAATAGAAGGTCTAAATACTGTACTCCAAAGTCCCTAACGTCATATGTTACTATGTTGTAGT